ATAACGAGTTTCCAAGGGATGCTCAGCATGCCACAAAACAAGTTTTTAAGTACCAAGGAAATTATGTCTATAAAATTTATACAAATTTTTCTATACCTCTCTTAACCCCTTGCTTGAATTAAAGTTTCAAATCTAGAACTTTGGGGGAAAAAGCTTATCATTTTTTTTTGGTGGGGGGCGGAGAGGGAGAAGGTGAGTGGGAAAATAGAAACATATATTAAAGTAAATCATACTTGCAACTACTTGTTTTTTTAAAAACCAAAGTCTCAAACAGGAACTTGGAAGGAAAGGTTATCAAATATGGCCATGTTGATAAAGCCAACAAAAACTATTTTATCTCTTGATTTATCTTCTCCCTCTTCAATGGCTATTTATCTACCTTTTAAGTTCATCTTCTCTTACCAACCATTTAATGTTGAGTTTTTTAATCTCTGTACCTTTTTTAGATGAGCTACCCAGAGTTTCAGCCTTATCATGCCTGGTTCTCAACCACTCTTTTCTATAAACTGTAGGACCATTGCTCCTATTCTGTTTCCTGTGCCTAAAATGCTCTCCTCTGTTTGGCATTTTGTTTTATTTTGTGTTTGTTTGTTTGTTTGTTTGTTTGTTTGTTTTTTGCCAGGTTAACATTTTTCATTCTTCAACTCTCAGCTCACTAATTACGCATTGGCTTCCTCAGACTTGGTATAATCTGACACAGGTTCCCTTAATATCAGATAGCATTTTTTACAGGATTCATCAGAGTTGCCATTTTACATCCATTTATGATGACTTGATTGTCTCTTTTCCACTAGATTATAAGCTCTTCCCTTTTTCTATTTCTTTTTTCCTGTTTCTAACTTTTCCCTGTCCACTTCTCTTCATGGTGTACCATAGTTTTTACTTATCAGTGGCTTCCTCTGTCGTATAGATTCTGATAAGCTTTTTTCTCTGTGTCTCTCAATATCTAGTCTTACTACCAATTATTGGTTCCCTCTAAATTTTCACATTCACACTTTATATGGAGTACGAGGATTTTATTGGTATAATTGATATTTGTTATCTCTATGGAAAAGTTCCTATGATCAATTTATGGATCCTTGCCCAATATCCAAATGTACTGCCCTTGGGTCAAGGATGTCTTGCATCCATTAACCATGGCCAGTGTGATGGGGCTAGGAGATCAGCTTTTTTTTTTTTTTTTTTTTTTTTTTTTTTTATATCAACATGCTTACTGAGAGCTGGCAGACTTGAGAAGGGATCTCCTTTTTTTTTTTTTTTTAAATCAATCTTTATTGTTCATATTATTACAAAGGTTCCTCATTTCTTCCCCCCTCCACCAGATTCCCACCCCACCCTCTGCCCCCTCTCCATCCCCCATTGTCCTCATCCATAGGTGCACAGTTTATGTTCAGTCTCTTCTTCCCTCCCTTTCCCCAATAGTAAATCCCTTTTCAGGTAGTAAATCAGTTACTTAGCATTTTCTCATATCAACAATACCTCCACATGCCCAATGATACACTTCACACAAAAAGACATTTCCCAATAGGTCCACCAGCCTCATCCAGGCCCCACCCAAGGCATTCACAGATCAACACCCCAGCCCTATACTAATTCAACACATCCAGATCTAAGCCTTCATCACTTGATTCAGCAGACCCTCAAGTTCCCACGAAAGTTTCCAGCCATGTCTGAGAGGCAGCGTGGGGCAGGGGCAGGCGAGGAGCGAGCTGTTCCGGGCCTGGCTGCTCAGGGCCTGGCCTCTATTGCTCTGGTTCGTTCCACAACCAGCTGCTCCGGGTCTGGTCACTGCCGCTCCCGACCTAGTTGCTCTGGACTTGGCTGCTGCTGCTCCGGGCCTGGCCGCTCCCAGCCTGGCAGCCGCTGCTCCAGGCCTGGCCGCACCCGACCTGGCTGCTCCGGGCCTAGCCGCTCCCAGCCTGGCAGCCACTGCTCCGGGCCTGGCCACACCAGCCCCGGCTGCTCCCCCGGGCCTGGCCGCTCCCAGCCTGGCAGCCGCTGCTCCAGGCCTGGCCGCACCCGACCCGGCTGCTCCCCCGGGCCTGGCCGCTCCCAGCCTGGCAGCCGCTGCTCCGGGCCTGGCCGCACCCGACCCGGCTGCTCCCCCGGGCCTGGCCGCTCCCAGCCTGGCAGCCGCTGCTCCGGGCCTGGCCGCACCCGACCCAGCTGCTAGAAGGGATCTCCTTTGAGAACTGGGAGTAGGTGAAAGATAATAACAAAAAACAAGAAGGAACAATTGGCATATTCAACATCATTCTCCTTGGTTGGTGTTGCACTCAATTAAATCTCCATTACTCGGCATATATTGGTAATGTCACAGAGGTCAAATAGATATGGATCTGGTGAGCAAAGAAAAATTCTGAAAAGCAAATCTGATGTATTTGGGGAGTGGTACAACCTAGTTTAAAAATGTTATATGTTTGGATAAATAAAATGTCATTTGGGAGCCGTCTACTTTTGGCTCACCCTGACTTTTCAGGATTAGCCCTTCAGATCCCTGATCCAAAGTGAAGGGGGTCTGCTAGCTCTTCTCTGTGGTGGGATCCAGACTTGATATCCTACCTCATTCCAACACAACATGAACTTGTCTACAGCTTCAACCTTTCAACTGTCTCTACTGAAAAAATAATGATAGAACAATGATCCTAACAGCTGGCAGAGATAAATTTTATTGAGCTTCAGAAAAAGAAAAAGCTACTATTATCTAGCCAGCCATTATTCATTGCTGCTCTTGGGGAAAGTGCCATAATACAGAGGTTAACAACATAGAATCCAGAACCTAATTGCCTGGGTTTAAATTATTATTCTGCTGCCTACTAACTGTATGAACTTGGGTAAATTACTTGGTTTTTTCTTGTATAACATGAGATGATAGCATCTATATCAACAGAGTTTTTAAAGGACTATATAAATTATTAAATATCAAGTGCTTATAACAGAAGAGATAATATATATTTGTGAGCTACAATTACTGTTGTTGTTGATACTGTTATTGTCCTTTACAGGTAACCTCATCCAATTAGTGGCCACCTATATTTCTCAGGACACATTTGGTGATAGGTATTAGAAATTCAGCTTAAAGTAACTTATGTAAGAAAAAGAAATGTGTTGGTTCACACAACAGGGCCAGTCCAGGGAATGGACTCACTTAGGCATGAATGAACCCTAGAGTTTTGATGATGCTACCAGGCCTCTTGCAGACTTGATTTTTAGCTTTCTTCTGGGTCAGCAGCATTTTCAAGCAGGTTTCCTCCATATAGTGAGAAAAGGAGCTTGAGACTAACCTAATTCTTACAGTTCTTAGGTAGATCTGAAAGACTGCTAGGCCCAGGTTGTGTTCCATCATGAACCAATAATCAGGAAAATGAAATATTCCTATTGGCCAGGGCTTGATCACATGCTACACGTGTAGCAAATGGAAAGGCGGGATGAACTACCTGAATATTGTGGTCCCCTGGAGGAAGAATGCTGAGCAGGAGATGTTCACCGCTTAGCCTATTGCCAAGATACAATCTAGGGCCATCTCTCTAAGGAGAAACTAGAGGACATGTTTAGTAAACATTTTACCCATTTTATATCTGGAGAACTACAGAAAATCAGGAGTAATGTTCAAAATATTGAATAACTGGTAGAGCAACAACTCTGATCAGTTTGAATGGACATCTGAACGGAAGTCAGCAGTAGCAGCATATTCCTGCATCCTTGCATCAAATGTGAACATTGCATCAAATGTGAACATTGGACTGATTTTTAGGGGGAGTTAAACACTCAGTCCTTTTCAACCTTTCTATTGATGATTTACTGACTAGTTGTGGTTGATTTACTGACTTTCCTGATTAGAGGCAGAACTGGAGTAGACAAATGTCTTCAGAACTCCTTATGCTCTTTAATTCCATGGTTGTCTCATGTGTGCAACCTTCTCACTGGACACATGCTGAGGACAGAGGATAAACTTCAGAGCAAAAACACCACTAACCTGGAAATGGACACATGTACCTTGGCTTAACCTTCTGTTTGGAGTTAACGCTGTTGTTTTTTTCTGCTTGGGAAAAGCTGAGGTCTCCCTCTTCCTTCTATTACTCTACAACCATCAAATTCCTCACAAAATATCCTAGTTTCAGCTGGACCTGTCTTGTTCAGGAAAGTGCTACCCCTTCAAACTCAGGTGGGGTGACATGTTCTTTAATTAAAGACTTAGATGAGGGGAAATTTAATGGATCAGCTCAGCTTGGCTTAAAAGCCCCCACCAACAACTAGTATGATAATACGTGTGTGTGTGTGGGTGTGTGGGTGTGTGTGTGTGAGAGAGAGAGAGAGAGAAAGAAAGAAAGAAAGAAAGAAAGAAAGAAAGAAAGAAAGAAAGAAAGAAAGAAAGAAAGAAAGAAAGGAAGGAAGGAAGGAAGGAAGGAAGGAAGGAAGGAAGGAAGGAAGGAAGGAAGGAAGAAAGAAAGAAAGAAAAAGAAAGAAAGAAAGAAAGAAAGAAAGAAAGAAAGAAAGAAAGAAAGAAAGAAAGAAAGAAAGAAAGAAAGAAAGAAAGAAAGAAAGAAAGAAAGAAAGAAAGAAAGAAAGAAAGAAAGAAAGAAAGAAAGAAAGAAAGAAAGAAAGAAAGAGAAAGACTTAAGTTAATGTTTTTAAAGTAGTTACAGCAGAGTTCATACACAATGGGTACCTAGTAAATGATAATTCATCTTATTCCTTCTTGCTAGAACCTTCCCTGCCACCTCACCCCACTGTAATCCTACAGCCTAGCCTACCTTTAGTTGCTAGCAGTACCTGGAAGTACCATTGCCCTTGGATCCTGTCTTCCAGGCTCAGGGCAGTTCTCAGGCATTAGTGCCCACACCTACTTACCAGGAGATATGTTCCCACCCTACTTCCACCTTCTCCCAACTAATGCTGCAGGTCTGCAGAAAAACTTAGGAATGCTTGCCAAGCCCATCTGACCTTTGCTTCCCTCTTCCTGGTGGTAATTGATGGATTTCATGCCTGTCTTCTTTCAGGGTTAAAGAGAGTACGGCAACTTGCAAAAAACACAAGATACTTCAGACAGAGACTGAACGAAATGGGATTCATTATCTATGGCAATGAGGAATCTCCCGTGGTCCCCCTGCTCCTTTACATGCCTGGTAAAGTAGCGTGAGTATCCAACAGACTCTCAGAGTAATGTATAATCACCACAAGGTGATCTAAGATGGTGCTTTTGACACTGAAGCTCTAGCAATGTAGGCCTTGATCATGCACTTTTGACAGGTTCCGAGTTCAGAATTCACTTGTGGAGCTGCTCAGAAGCCACATGGCCCATCAGCGCGGTCTTTTCACAATGGCTGAGGTCCACCATTTCCATGCTCTGTGAATTTAGGGGAATCACCTATCCCTCCTAAGGCTCTACCGTAAATGAAGCCTCCTCCTGCCTTAAGATCTTTGTCAAAGAGAAATTCTGCAGACCCTTTCTCCTAATATTAAAAACAGCATTACCAGGTCCTGTGCTTTCTCCTATTGAACACTTGGGACCATCCTCAGAAGAAGGCAGCCTTGCTTTAAGTGTGGGGAAACTGAGGCGAAGAGCAGGTAACAACTTGCTCAATGTCGTACTTGTCAGACAGTAGTAAAACCAAGAGGCCAATCCAAACTGAGGCTTGCTCCACAAAGTTCATGCTCTTAACACCAAATTTCAATGCCTCTCCTGCTTATTTGGAGTTGTTTTCCCATTGATCCCTTGTGATGGGTAGGAATGAGTTAATAGATGGATTCTTTGGAGTACGCTTTTGTATCATTTTACCACAGTAAAATCCCAAGCAGTTAAAACATATGTGTGATTTGTTTTGTGTGCCACAGATTTGCCATCACTCAGCCTTTTGTTCACAGATCTGGGTCAGGATTGCATTGCCTGGAAGGGCAAGAAGACAGTGTACCATGGAAAGTCTGTGCTAATGGCAGGAAGGGGTGACAATGGTGATTCAAAGTAGCAGATCATCCAAAGCCCTTTACCCTCTGACTTTAGAAGGCACAAAAGAAAACCTACCTTTATTCAGAATAATTGGGGAAATGGTGACTTCTGAAAGAAAGACTTTATATTGAGTTCATGTCAATCTAATATTTTATCATTAACTCAAATAAAGACACCAAATATCAACTTACTTTATTTTTGAGAGTGTGATGTGCACAACCCTGGCAGGTGGCAGTAGAGGGTGTGCTGGAGAGTTCCAACTTTGACAATAAAAGCCATAATTAAAATCTCAACAGGTTAGGAAATTAATCAATCCAATGAGAAGAGTCCATGAAGAGTAAAAGCAAATGCATTTAAATTCAAGAACTCAGCTCTACAATAACAGAAAGAGAGTGTCTGCTCCTTTATATGCCAGGAGTCCTGACTGGACATAGTAAATGTGGAATTAAAAATAGAACTAAGAGGAAGTTAGTAAAAGTTATGTTCTATGGTGTAGTGAGATATTTGGAATGAAAAAGAATTTTGACTCTGCCTCTTCCTAACTGGGGAAATCTTGGACAAGTTACCCAACCTTTTGAAACCACAGCTTTTTCATTTTTGAAATGAGCTATAATAGTATCTATTTCATTAGGCTATTGTGAAGGTTAAACAAGATGAGGTCTGTTGGCATTTGTCATTGCCTCTTATCTAGAAGCTACTCAGTGTTAACTATTATTATTAACTAGTAGCCCTGTGCATGAATCCATGTGCCAGTAGCTCTCTGCCACCCTCCTGTAGCTCTTTGCAGCCCGCTTGTAGTTTCGCTGCCCACCCTCCTGCAGATCTGTGATCCAGTCATTCTGAGGTCAGTCGTTACGCCTCAGGGCCTAATGGATAATTAGCATATTCCTCTCATTATAAAGAATAGTATTAATAATATGTATAAAGCACTTAATATAGTGTTTAGTGTACTGTAAGCACTCAGTTCGTGGTAACCATTATTATTACTATTACTGCTTCTAATTTTGCTACAATGATGATTATTACTAGTTTTAGCTGAATGCAAGATTGAGTTACCATGGTTGCATGTCTCTCCAAAATAATTATTGCAGTCTTTAGTTACATTAATAAAAGTAGAACTCCTGGGGGAAATAGTAGGTAAAGATACTGTGATACTCTGCATCAATTATGCTATCTTAAACCTGGAGGATAGGTCAAACTCTCTAGTGTCTTCCAACTTAAGATGGTTTTCAATGAGGAGCTAATGTTGCTAAATGCCAATTATGTGCTCCTAAGGCTCTTATACCCAGTGGTCATCCATTGAGGGGAGGACACTTAGCCCTGGTTTACAAATGAGGACACCAAGACTCACAAAAGTCAGCTGCTTTCTAAGGCCACTCAGACTGTAGGTAGTAAAGCATAGAATTCAAAACCAGTTCCATCGGCCTCCTTCACTAGAGCTCTTTTGGTGCATAGCACAGCTTCTCAAGCTTTAGTACACAGGGGAAAATGCACATCTCACTAAAGCAATTCGGGGTATAAGTTCAACCCTCTTTAATGCCATCTTTGGAGAATCCAAAGGCATCAATCGTTACAATGGAAACCGAAAGTCAACTTATTTGGGTTGTCTAAGAAAACTTAGAATAGGTTAGTTACAAAAGGTCATATCATCTATTGTTAGCAGGAATTGCTAGCAAGAGCTTGCCCTCCTGCCTGGCCTGATTTCTATCTCTTCTGTTTCTTCAATCAAGAGTTTATATGTAGATTATGAGACTGGGAGTTAATTGTATGGTATAAGCCAGTGTATTAGCACTTCTTTCATTAGCTCATTTTAAAATCTTTGATTTCATTTAAAAACTGCAGAATGAAAATATAATCTCCAGCCAAGAGGAACTTTTGAAAAGAGTCCGCTTGCAACTCTACCACTGGAATTGCTAAGAAGTTCAATAGACTGTGATTGCGCTTATAAAACATGCATTTAAGTAATCAAGAATCTATAGTATTTGGTACAGGGCTTACATTTTCCTTTTATGGCTCTTGTCACACACGTGGAAGATGATGGGACTCAAGCTGCCCTGATGCTGCAGGCAACACATGCTAATGCTTATTATTTTTATTATTATTATTATTATTATTATTATTATTACATAATTTCATTTCTTTAAGCCTACGCCAGCTCTCATTTCCTTTGGGGAGTACAAACCCAGAGGCTCATTATAGAAAATGTTCAGCACAATTATATGTATTGCCTGAAAGAGGTGGAGTTTAGAAGTGTAAGATTTAAGCTCAAAAGTGCTCCAGGGAGGCCTCGGATTAACCTTAATGAATCAACAGTCATAGAGTTTGCTTTACATTCTTTGGCAAAATTCGCTTCCTCTGATACAAAGAGAAACTTACAGACAGTGAAAATGCTCCTTTGGGAGTCCGGACAACTGGCCTGAGATCATGGGTCAGGTGGTTTGTACTCCAGCAATAAAAGCACTTGACTTGATTCTCAGACAATTACGACTCTCATCCTGTGTAGTTCCATGGGCAGCCTTCCATAGGGTGATCAAGAAGCAGAAAGAACAGCCTCTGTTTGCAAGTTTTCTCAGTTACAAAGCTTCATCTCCTTGTAGCCTTCCCAGGCCCAATCAAAATCCCAGCCAGGGAGCCAGAGAGGCTGTGTGTCTGGTAGGTCTTATAATCTCCATCGCTTCATTTGATAATGTGCATGAGGCAACCAAAAGGCAGACAGCCCAAGGGTGAGAGGAATGAATAAATGAGCAGGCTTGCTCTCAGCTTGGTTCAAGAATTCTTCCTGAGTTATGACTGGAAGGTTTCTGTGATGCTGTCACAGAATAAGTCACCAGCAACCTCTTAATGCTAAGAACAGAATTAGGCATTTACCTCACTCAGTAAGAGGATAGATTCACCTGGGGCATATCTTTTTGTCTGACCTTGGCTCTGACACAAAAAATTTACAGTCTATGACAGCCTGATATTCTAGAATTGTTACGAGATTAGCTCTGGAAAAGAAAGAGATGAGAAGCAGTAAAGGGGAAAGAATAAAAAAATTAAGAGGTTTTGCCCTGCATCAGGAAGCTTTGCAGTTGTGAGACTATTGTCCTATAACCAGCAAGCCTCCCTATGCATGTACATTTCTTTCCATGTCTCCCTCCCTTCCCACTTCCCTTTTAACCAGTTAATGAATTTAGTCTCCCTGGACTCTTCTTTCACACATAAAGAAATGAGGAGACGGTTGCTATTTCCTGGTTTAATTGAAAATAAAATATTTGGCTCTGGGGTGAGAATATGGCTTGAGGTTGGCTCTTGCAGACCTTCTGACTTTGGTCTTCAAATTACAGTGATTAAGTAAAGGTTTCTTGAAATGTTCATAATATATCATTGACATTATCTTTTTAAAACATATAGGTGTGCATTTAATATAAAGTGTCCCAAAAATGCATACATAACACTTTGAATAATTATAAAGGCAATGTTTATTAAAATACATTTCATTTTTCAAAATTGAGCTATCAGCTGTTACATGTGTATACATTTTTTGGTGGAGGGGACAATATCATGTATATTCATTCTTTATGTAATTGCACTGTGTTAGCTGTTTAGTTTTTATTCCTAGGATTCCTACAGACAAAAGATTTAACATCAGTGCAGACTTGTTAAATCAAGGTCACATCCATCAGCATTTCTGCTCAATGTCAGAGACTCAGCACTCAAGATTATTCAATGAGTGTGCCAGGATCCATAATATACACACTCTGGTGCCATCAAGTGACTGAACCATTTCTTTGTGAATTGTGTTTGGCAGATGCTTAATACCTTCAATCATTTCCTATTAATTGTTTGTTTTTTAAGAAAAAGTCAATTAGTCATATTCCCTCTTTTTTATACAGTATGATGTTGTCTTCTCCCAGTAAACTTCCCTTTTTGTCTTTTCTTTAGGGCCTTTGCAAGGCACCTGCTAAAAAGAAAGATTGGGGTAGTGGTCGTTGGATTTCCAGCTACTCCCTTAGCGGAAGCCAGGGCACGGTTCTGCGTTTCAGCAGCACATACCCGAGAGATGTTAGACACGGTGAGTATAACACAGGCCACGGGATGTCCAGTACTGGTACCTTGGATTCTGAACATGTTCTTTTATTGAACTAGCTTAGAGTTCCCTGGGTCTCTCTTGGGAGATTTAGGAAAATACCATTAATAACACTCACTGCTAAAAACAACACTGTTCACCAACTCAGTATACAGAAAAGGAAATCAGTTTAGTGAAGACTTGAATCAAGTAAGTGTTTTGGTTTTTATAGAAAAGACTGACTGAGTAGCCAAATGTTGTGCTATTTACTGTAATTCTAAATGCAAAAGCTAATCTAACATGTTTTTTCAGCATCATCTGCCTGCATCACAACATTTTTTATAGCCACCAAATCCATCATAATAACATATAACCCAACTAGGCAACATCTTGGAAAACTAATAGCAAAGATAGCCATTTGCAGGAAGTGTTAATGATTTTAAAACCACATTTCATGGTCCTTTGATTTAAATCTTTATGTGGATTAAGAATATCAGAGAACTAAGCTATCTCAGTCAGTTTGGAGTTGATGGAACATTCTTATAATGTCAATGCAATTTGGCAAACTATTGAGTGTCTACTGTGTGAAAAATCCGGAAGTAAAAAGTCAGAGAGGAGACACTAAAAATAAGCAAATAATGATGATACTAGATAGAATCAGTTCATCTTGGAAAGGAAATTTAGGGGATTGCAGGAGCATGAAGGCGGAAACTTTATCTTTTTCTTCCACAAGTTTACCTATAAATCATTAAACTTTAAAATAAAGCTAAAGGGTAGCATGGGTCAGATACTTTTATTCTTTTCTTCATACCACTAAAATAAGTGAAACGCACATCATGTGGAGTTAGACAAAGAGTATGAAATAAAGTGAATTAGCACCTAACATTCCTCTAGGGATGCCTTATACACCATACCTTAAGGACTTGGATTTTTCTTCATTTCTTTAAAGTCAAAGCAACTGGGAAAAGAAGCGTGTAGCTCTCTGTGAAGCACTGGAGAGCAGAGCCACTCGGAGGTTCAAAGATGACTAATGGAAGGTGATCTCTTTACAGGTGTTGGAAGCCCTAGATGAGATGGGTGATCTCCTGAACCTGAAATATTCCCGGAACAAGAAGTCAGCACGCCCTGAACTCTATGATGAAACAAGCTTTGAACTCGATGATTAAGTTTCCAGGTCCTGAATGGCACCTAAAGACTTTGCCAGAAAATTTTATCTTTGCCTCAAAAAGAATATAAGTGCATTTCTCTCCCTTTCTAAGGACAATTTGGTTTTTGAACCAGCTTAGATGAACTGAGGGAGACGTTATTGTGTTCTTAATGTCTCCATCTCAGGACCGTAGAGACAAAAATACAGTTTCAGATTTATGTTTCTCTTCTCCTAAGTAACCTGCTACACACACACATACACACATATTTCTTATAATGTTTGTAATGGCAATAAGCCTGTGCTTTAGCTGCTACTGTGCAGCCTCTTTTGTCCAGACCCTTTCAGGAATTCCAACCAAAGGAGTGGGTTTTGATTTTTAATTCCATGGATCTCACTGTGTGTTTATTTATTCCATCTCTGGATGGGTCAAGATGGTAGTCAGCAGCAGACCTCCTTGTTCTCACATGAAAGCACCAGGTAGAACTCCTGTATCACAGGAAGTTCCAGGCAGGAAGGTAAAGAAATGTTGCTTCTACCATTTGCCACATTTGGACTTTCTCCAAGGACAAGTGTCAAAAGCCATCGTTAGCATTTTGAGGGAAGAGCAGAACTGGCCAGCAGCATCTAGAGACGTCTTTGAAGGAAACTTTCCTTTTCCTCTTGCTGGTCTCCTACAGTTTTACAGCTGAGCTTTTAAGGTTTGGAAAATTCGAGATGTGTGTTTCATAAGGAAAGGTGGTAGACAGCAAGCACAAGCCAATTTTAGGCCTAAACTAAAACCATGAAGTTAGAAGCATTTGAACATTTTTGGTGCCATGTAGAGTGAATGTTTAGCATGTGTAGTTTCTGTAACTTTAAGGAATGGGTTGACATTATCCTATTGAATTTTGAGTTAATAGTGAGATTCCATTTTCTTGAGAGTTGACTGCTATGACTACACTTGAAGAATTGGTTTAAAAACATCTAAAACCAAATATTCAACTTTTTCAAGACTGACACACACACACCCCCCAATTAGGCCTATTAACATTAAATAGTGCTGTCATCTGCCAAATGCACTTCAATTTGGTGCAAAGTGAACTTGTGTGCTATTGGCAACTAACTGTAATTTTCTCTCTCTCTCTCTCTCTCTCTCTCTCTCTCTCTCTCTCTCTCTCTCTCTCTCTCTCTCTTTCTTTCCTTCTCTCACTGTGTGTCTCTGAACACAAACTCTTCTGGAATAGCACCCCTTCGCTAATTGGATCTAGTTGGTATGGAAAAAGCCAGTGGAAAACCTTATCTTTAACAAGCTCCCAGATGGTGCACAGATTTGGAAACTCTAAAGAGCAGTGGTGACCTTTTAGCAAAGCTTCTGTAATAGTTTGAATGAGTTACAGAACATTCCACTCCATCAAATGACACTATAAACAAATCACTTCAAGAGAGGCTTGACTTTGTGTGACACACATGGACCCAAGCTTTCATGCTGTGCACTGAGATAGAAACTCAACCCCAAGCACCGGTGTTGGAGGGAGCAACATGACCTGATGTTCAAAACCTGTTAAAGGAGAAAGGAGATCTGCATGGAAACTTTTAGGAAATTATAACCCCTAGTAGGTACAACAATTTAAAAGTGGATCACGAATATTTTTAAGTAGTATAATATTCCTCATGAACAATTTTTATGTATAATTAAGTTAGGAGTAGAGAAAGCAGGTTCTGAAATGCTGTTGCCCCATCTAATGACTGAATTTGATAACTAAATTTCAGTTCTTCTCCATGAGCCAGTAAAGCATTACTTGTGCAAGGAAAATAGATGTTGAGTAAATGTACAGCGAGAAAAAAAAGACACGTAGGTCTTTTCTTTAAAAAATGTGCATTTAAATGAAATTGATCCTAGTTAATTTTCCAAAATGCATAAATGTCCTCAGTCCTGTAAAAGAAGCAGGAGACAAAGAAGGCGGCAGCATGTCTGGGCCTCCCTAAGGTATAGCAAGCAATAAACATCCCCTCCCATTCTGGGTGCCTGTGATCTAACACCCACCCTTTGAGTTTTAAGCCTCCAGAGGGGTGTCTCCTTAAGCAGGAATTACTCTCATAATTACTTTCATGGAGGCTCTTGAGTCAACTTATGATAGGAAACTAATTACTTAGCCAGTTGGCAAGGGAGGCAGGAGGAGATTACTCTCTCTTCATCAAGATCCAAGAGTTCTGGGGCAATTTATTACTTTCTCGTGTACAAGATAAAAGGCCTATCTCTGTCAGGGTCTAGGTTGAATATACACTTATAAGAGCAACTGTAAGCCAAGTGGAATGCTTCCCGAGCAGCACATTAGGAGGGATCCAGGTCCCACTGGTCTGGCAATATAAGAGTGTGCATATATATAATGAGATTGGTTAAGAGGGTGATTGTGAATACTGAGAGATTTTCTTCTGCTGGTAGGTTAATAAGACCATGATTTTAATTCAGTAGGGATTACTGAGTTTCCATAAGTTTAGCAGAGCCAAAAATGTCTCTTTGGTTGATTTTGAGGGAAAGAGAATTTCTAAAAGAAGTATAATGTTATTTATGTATCTCCAACTTTCACATACATACACACACACACATACACACACACACACACTCACACTCACACTCACACTCACACTTACACACACATTTACTTTTCCCTTACAGAGCAAGTGAGAGTAGAGAGATGAAAGGTAGAAAGATGAAAATCTGATTCGTTGATAGATGGAAGGTGTTGTCCTAAAAATGATCTTCAGGGAAGCACAAAATACAGGATCCAGACTGATATTTGTAAGAAAGATTATTTGCATAATGAAATGACATGAACACATGTCTAATCTTATCATGGGACTTCAGTATCATGAATGTTTGGCTGGAATGCACTTCAGTAAGTTTTGATCTGAGAACTGCAGGTTTCAGAATTTACTTAAAAGCTTGATAAAATGCAGATCCTGGAGTCCCACTCTGGCATTCTACTGAATCAGAATAGTGAGAGATAGTAATCTATATTGTCATCAGCTTTCCCAAGGGATTCTAATCCATGTCATAATTTGAGAATAATTATTGTAGCTTTTGTTTTGATAGACCAGTTGGCTCTAATAACATAACAGAAGCTTTGTTCTGACTCTTTGTTTATAATTAAGAGTATTTATACTAATAAAGTAAATTATTCCAACTTTTCCTACTCAATTGAATATTTCACTCCTATTTTCCAGGTATCTTCATTTCCTACAACAAGGAATCTAATATTGAAAAATATTCACTTGAATATTCATTTGAATAAATTATTCCTCTTGAATACCTCTCTGTATCCTTTCCTACAAAATGTTCATTTTCCTTTCATCACTTTGTTCCATTGAATGTGGTATCTTGTTTCTTTATTTTTCTTCTACCCCTTTAAAAAATCTTCAACTTTGATTATTTATTTATTCCAACAACAGCTCTTGAATAGGGTGAATCTAACAGTTCTTCAAATATGCAATGCTCCTCTCTATTTTTTTCTTCAGAGACAACAAATAGAAGTGGGTTGCTCTGACCTAAAACTCTGATGGTAAAATCTTAACTCTTAAATATATCTTTTATTTACAGCAATGTTAACAATTGTATTTTGAGCTTCTCTAGTGATTTCTTGTCAATTTTACTGGTCTCAGTAAGAACAATATATTTGAAGTCTGTTTTCTCAGGCCCTTTGCAGCTGTGTATTGTTTAGGAGATTAAAAGGCATCTGTATTTTAAATGTTTCTAAGCAATTTTTGTGGAATGTTGTCTTACAGTGTTGTGTGTTGTGTGTGTGTGTGTGTGTGTATGTTTCGCTGAAATCTCTGAGGTGACCAATTTCATTTCATTCTGTTTGTGAAATGTTAGTTTATTTAATAAACAAAATATCAAAATTGATGATACAAAAATAATTGGTGGTTTATGTTAATTTAGTGGGTTCTAAAAAAAGAGATTGAGTTAGAAATTTGCATTTAAGAATTTCATTGAGGAAAATTGGCAAGAGTGGCTGGTGCTAGCTTGCATTTTGTCACAAGAACCAATTGTACTCATCTCTTTCCAATTTTGAATTCAATGACATCACTTTGGTAGCTTAAAATTGGCCATGCTGCAAATATTTACACCATGGAAATTGGCAAACATTACTAATTAGGGATCTGAAGGGCCAGCTGTTAAACATTTACTAGCACACCACTGAGACCACATACAATGGGACAATATCTAGGTTGGAGAGAGTGAACAGGATTGGAAAAATAAGAAGTCATATTATGATGCTATAACAAAGGCCTTAGATAATTCCATGGGAGCAATGCAACTGGCTTGGCTGTTTAGAGTTATTGTGAAATTGCAAAATGAGAGAGCCAGGAGCTTTATGTGTGCCAGCCAACTTCTTTTCCCCACCATCAACTAGTAACAGGATGCAACCTAGGTGTGGGGAAGGAAACCACTTTAGGCAAGACTATTCAGCCGAAGGCAATTCTTGTAAAGGAATTCTGCTTTGAGCTGACAGCAGTCCAACTGTTTAAAAAATATTTCTAGTCTATCTACTTAAAAATGGTTTTATAATGGAAATTTTTAAACATACAGTAACATAGAGAATAGTATAATGGGCCACCATGCACCTATCACCAGCTTCAAATATTATCAATCCATAGCCAGTTCTTTTTATCTACTTTCCCCACCCATTTCACTCCCATTTCCACCAAATAACTTGGAAGCAAGTCCCACATATAATAAGATTCCATCGGTAGATATTGCACTGAGTCTATCTAAAAGGTAGAGATGTCTTAACTTGTTCCTTAATTGGTTTCCACTTCATTACAAAATAAGTCTTCAGGATAACAAAGGCATTCAAAAAGAATCAGATGTTAATCTTTTCTTTATCTTATGCCCTGCATATAAATTTTATGGATCAAGACTAAGAATTCTTTCTAAAGTAGGTATGTGGCGTCTTTAAAAAATAACAAGTAAATTATTTTTGAACACTTATCTTGTGCCAGACACTGTCTTAAGTACTCTGACACCCACTACCTTCT